TAAAAGTATGGTAGGGTAATTAAAAGTGGAACAATTCTAAAATATGAAAATACATGATAAAAAAATCTTGCAAACCACTGTGTTTCGTGTCTGTACAGTAGCCTAAATATGTCGATGGAGAAAGTTTTGTTACTTTTAACAGTTAGGCTAGCTGTTTCCCTATTTCCAGTTTTTATGCTAAGCTAAGCTAACTGGCTGCATACAAATAAGTGTGTTTCCCAAAATGTTGAACTATTCTTTTAGAACGAGAGCAAAAGTAATGCTTCTCTGTAAATAATCTTTTTGTTCATACATATGTATGTGTATACGATACGATACGATGCAAGTATTCTCAGCAGTTCCTGCCTGATGGTCAGACCTACCTTGATGTTTTTGTCACTTTCTCTCAGTAATGTAAGATTATCAGTACAGTTTGCATAACATTACACTGACAGCCTACACAGAGACAGACAAATATAAATAGTAAAGATGGTCCAGACCCACCTGCCCCCTATGTGTTTGTTGTGTCCGAAAATACCCACGACTTCAAAAAATACAGCAGCTCCCAAATGTCATTGTGTTTGTTTCCTTTATACCCTCTGGTCAAACTGTGACCGGAGTGGACAAAACTGCCTTTTAACCAATAAAATAAGTGTAGTATTCCATCGTTAATGTGTTGAATACTATTAATTGTTCAAATTGAATACAAATCTGATTTGCAGCTCAAATCTATTTTTTTTTATTTACTCCTGCTCCGCCAGATTAAATCAAATAAAGACAAAGCAAATCTGCATTAGACAAATCCCCTTGAACATAATTAATAATAATTTAACTGACCAAAGCCAGCATTATTATGTCATGATTAATAAAGGATGGTCATGAGACATTTTACAAATTATCATGTGTTTAACGCATTTTCTATGTAACAGCATTTGTGAGTATGACATAGCTTTGTAAGGGAAGATTTTATCTTTAAGTGATCACTGTAGAGTTCACACTATTTACTCAACAGACACGGCATGAATCATATTTGTAGCCAACAAACAATCTATGCAGGGTTGTCCTGCAAGTGACCATACAATGACTGGCTACAACGAGTCCTGATAAGTGACTGATGCCAGCCATGAAGGTGACTCTCTTTGGACATAACCTCTGTCATAGACCTCTGTCCTAAGTAAGATGTCTTCCAACCAACAACAGAACAGACTATAGGCATCATTTTATAAGTAAAACAAATTAAAAAGTGACTAAATAAATTGCACAAATAAGAGTGAAAATCAATCAAAAGATAAAACCAAGATGTAAGATGTATTTTATAGGTCTTATAAGGGACATTTAACACAATATCCTAATATCAAATATCCTGCACATAGCACTGTATCAAAGATTGATCGCAATAACATGTTGTTCGTTATGGAAACTGCGAGAGAAAATATTAAACAAAGAAACAAAATTACCTCACCAGAAAAAAATGAGCATGTAAGCATCTAAACATATAGATCAACACACTGGTTGTACGCTCACCAATGAATAGCCTAATTAAAATGAGTGAGCAGGTATCTATGCTCATTGATTTTACTGCTCGGCTTAGCACTGCTACCTTGGTGATGTAATTGTGGCAGATGATGTGCTCTTCAGGGATGAAGTCGAGCATTGATCCACCCTTGATCTGAGCTCTGCTGTCTGGCTTATTGAAGAAGCATCTTGTGTAGTCTTTAGAATGAGGGAAAACCATGTTTTTTTTTCCTTTTTTCCTAACCTTTATCTATTATGGGAAGTTTTACTGAGAGCCCAGCTCCCTTTAGCTGGAATGCTTGGACCACACATACAAACCTGGAAGCTGCCCAGTACAACCACAGGCTGACCTGCTGGCCCCTAAGCAGCTTAATTGAAAAAGTTGGGGTTAAGGGCCTCACTCAAAGGTAACTCCTTGGTGGTAATGAGGGTGGGGCAATGAGGGTGGGGCAAGCACAATTTTTCCACTTTCCCCACCTAAATCGGCAACCTTCATGTCAAGGGCCCACTTCTCTAACCTTTAGGCTACCACTAATGAGACATAGATGCTTAATTTTATGTCAGTTCAACTGCCAGCTGCACAATGTTTGAAGAAGCAAGTACCTGAATAGTAATAGTAAGGAGTTCGGTCTAGACCTG